GAAGGATATACACAATGAATGGTAGGTCCCGAGGGAGTAACTGAGGGACAAAGGGACCATGATGTACAAATCCATAGATCCCTGCAGGTGTTAGCACAGAGTGGTGGTGGTGGAGGTATACAAAATACTTGCCTTCACTTGCCAGAGCGTAGAATATAAAAGCAAGGAAATCTTGTCACAATTTTATAAAACATTATTTAGGCCACATATAGAATACTGTGTGCAGTTCTGGCTGCCATACTGTCAGAAGGATGTGATTGAACTGGAGAGGGTGCAGAGAAGATTCACCACGATGTTGCCTGGGATAAAAAGTCTTGGTTATGAGGAGAGACTGGATAGGCTGGGTTTGTTTTCCCTGAAGCAGAGGAAGCTGAGGGGGTTTCTGATTGACGTATACAAAATTATGAGAGGCACAGACAGAGTAGATCATGAGAATCTTTTCCCCATGGCTGACGTGTCTAAGACCAGAGCGGATAAGTTTAAGGTGAGGAGTAAGTTTAGAGCAGATCTGAAAAAAAAAAGTTTTCACCCAGAGGGTAGTAGAAATATGGAAAGTGTTGTCTTAGAGAGTGGTAGAAGCAGGTACTCCTGCAACATTTAAGAAGCATCTGGATGAACTCTTAAAATGCCAAGGCATAGTCGACTGTGGACAAATGCAGGTAAATGAGATTAATGTAGTTTGGTGTTGGGGTTGGTCGGCATAGACATAGTGAGCAGAAGGGCCTGTTTCTATGCTGCATGAGTCTATGACTATGGCTCCAAGGGGCTGAGTGTCCTAATCCTGCTCCTATTTCCCATGTGCTACATGGGGATTAGTTAACTGAGTTGGATGGTTAGGTTGTAGTGCAAAGTATTAGCAATAGTCTGGGTTCAATTCCTGCACTGACTGAAGTTACCATAAAGAACTTCCCTTTTCAAACTCTTGCCTCGGGCAAGGGTGAACCTCAGATTAAACCACCACCAATTACCTCTCTCTAGTGAAAGAACAGTTTGAGGGTCTGGTAGGACTGATAATAATCTAAACTTTCCAAGAGGTTGTAGGAGTCTTGTAGTCGGTTCTGATGTGCATCTAACATATGGTAGGGGGCCAGTGTGTTGGGGTGTACAGTTCTTGCCAGGCATCAGCAGACGAAGCTGTTAGGGTAACCATTGTTTGCAAAGACTCTGTATAAGTGTTCGTCTTCATGTTTGCACAACTCCGGGGTGGTGCAGTGAATTATTGCTCATTTAAACAGACTCTTGACACAGCTCTGTTTGTGGACGCTGGGGTGGTTACTGTTGTAATTCAGGATTTGGTCTGCGTATGTAGTCTTTCTGTATATGCTGGTGAGGAATTCACCATTGTTCGCTCGTTCCACCGTTACGCCTAGAAATGCGAGTTGATTGTTGTTCTCATCTTCCCTGGTGAACTTGATCCCAGTGAATATGCTGTTATTAAGGTGATGTGTTTTTTCTACCTTTGCTTGTTTAATGATCACGAAGATATCATCCACATATCCAACTCATAGTTTAGGCTGGATCTCGGGTTAGAAACACATCAGAACTGACTACAAGACTCCTACGACCTCTTGGAATAAGGATAGTATACAAACCAACGGCTACACTTTGCTAGTTACTCTCAAAGACAAAAGACCCCATACCCATAATAAGCAGGATAAATGTGATATATAAAATACCATGCAGCAACTGCTAGAAACACTACATAGGACAGACGGGCAGGAAACTCGCCACCAAGATACATGAACATCAACTGACAGCAAAACGGCACAATCAACTCTCCTTCATTTCAATACACTCCAACATAGAAGGACATCAGATTGACTGGGACAAAGTTACAGTATTAGGACAAGCGAGACAAAGACAAGCATGAGAATTTCTGGAGGCCTGGTTTTCAACCACCGATGCAATTAACAAACATTGAAATAGACCCCATCAACATACCACTACGGTACAAAACCAGAAACAAGACTGGCCACCATGGCAGACCAGACCATATAAGTTCAGAGTGGGACAGAACAACAGTGCTTCAACGGAGCTACACAGCATTGATGATGTCACATAGAAGGGAGACGAAACATTGGCATGAAAACCAGTCAGCTTGACGAATCTACCAACAACTCCGACTGCAACAGAGATACAGATCTTCATTAAAACATTAAACATTGGAGCGGTACCACCAACACTGCCCTCACAAGATCCTGCGAATCCACTGGGAATAATGATGCACCAACACCAGCATCCTCGGCCCGGCCAATATCCTCAGCATTGAGTCACTGACCACCTTGTTTGGCTGCAAGGGGCTGGACATGTTGTCTGTATATCCTACACAGGACTCCCCGAGCAGGTATTCTACTCCCAGCTCCGAAACAGCAGGAGAGCCCCAGGTGGGAAACGCCAGAGGAAACGCTTCAGTGACGTGCTCAAGGCCTCACTGGCAAAGTGCAGCATTCCAGTTGATACCTGGGAATCACTGGCCCAAGACCGTCCAAAGTTGAGGAGGACCATCCGGGAAGGCATCAAGCGCCTCGAGACTTGGAGTCGGGAAAAAGTGGAAGCCAGGCGAAAACAGCGAAAGGAGCGCGCTTGCCACACCAACACCACAGCCAACCCTTCCCACGGCCACCTTCTGTTCCAAGTGTAACAGATCCTGTGGAAACCGCATCGATCTGTACAGCCACCTACAGTCTCATCCCTGAGAGTGGAAGAGAGCCACCCACCTCTGTGAGGGACCACCAATGATGATGTCACAATGCTCCAGGCGGGGTCCAACAAGTGTCATGTACACAGCAAGCAGCAAAGAGATAAGGAAGGAAACTAACATCATAACAACAGGTTTTCTGGCCAGTTTCATATTATTTATTGTGGGAGCTTACTGTGGGAAAATTGGTTGACAGCCTCCTAAGTTACAACAGTGTCAACACTTCAAAGTGCACTTCACTAATGTTTCAGCATTTTGGGCTGTCCCCAGGTCAAAAAAGATGCTATATAAATCTGATCTCTCTGTGAGATGCTTTTTTGTGTCATTTATTCCTCTCCTAGCTCCTCAACAAATGTTTAAACTGGCTTCTCCCACTTTTAACTATAAAGGTTTTCACCTGGAGATCCTTTAACACTCACTAACTATTTGATTATCGATTGGTGTTATTTTGTGGGGTCAATAAGAAATTATCTACCTGCCCATCAATTTATGGTTTTGCTTAGGTTTTATAGCCAGGGAACAGGAAGGATTGATATAAAGGAATGTTTCATTCATGTAAATAAAACAAAGAACTGTGGATGCTGGAGATATAAAGCAAACACAAACAGGAATTGCTGGAGAAACTCAGCAGGTCTGACAGCATCCGTGAAGGGAAAGCAGAGTTAAGATTTTAGTGACTCTCATTCAGAACTGATAGCAGATAGTAAAAAGTGTTATTTGTGCTGATGACGGAGGGTGGTGGGGGCAAGAGGGAGCCCAGAAAGAGAGAAAGAGAGAGAGATAGAAGGATAGGCAGACAAAGGGATTGCATTCATTTCTAAGATAACAAGGTGTAGAGCTGGAGGAACACAGCAGGCCAAGCAGCATCAGAGGAGCAGGAAAGCTGACGTTTCGGGTCTGGACCCTTCTTGGCCAGCTGTGTTCCTCCAGCTCTACACCTTGTTATCTCAGATTCTCCAGCATCGCCAGTTCCTACTATCTCCAGTGTTTGTTTCCTTGATGTGTCACCCTACAGAATCGAACTGTATTTGTGAATATGTACATACATTTAAAAGTATTTTTTAAGAATATTTTGAAATAAGAAAAGCCTACACAGGAAGTGCTCTTAAACAAGATTGAAACATTCAAAATTCTGAGGCAAGATGACATGCTAGTTGTGGAAACATTGTTTCACCTTGTGGGAGAGTCTAGGACCAGAGGGCATAATCTCAGAGTAAGGGGTCATACTTTTGGGACAAAGATGAGGAGGAATTTCTATTGTCTGAGGGAGTGAATCTGTGGAACTCTTTACCACAGAGGGCTGTCAGGGTTGGGTCATTCAGTATATTCAAGGCTGAGGTAGACAGATTTTTAATCAGTAAGGGAACTGAGGATCACAGGGAAAAGAAGATGTAGGCCATTCAGCCCATCAAGTCTGCTCCGGCAGATCTGATAATCCTCAATCCCACTTTCTTGCCTTTTCCCCATAATTCTTGATTCCTTCCTGATTAAAAATCTGTCTACCTCAGTTTTGCAGAGGGCAGTTAAGAGTCAACAACATTGCTGTGTGTCTGAAGTCACATATAGGCCAGTCTGGCAGATTCCCTAAAGGACATTAGTAAACCAGATGGCTTTTTAACAACAATTGATGATACTTTCTTGGTCAGCATCACTAAGACAACCTTTCAATTTCATGTTTATGAATTGAATTCAACACCCGCTAGTTTCTATAATAAGATTTGAACCCATGTCCTTTAGCCTGGATTATAACCCAGTGACATTACTGCGATGCTATGGATTGGGCTGTAATTAAAGAGTTCTTGCATAAAAAAGACCATGGACTGAAACACCATACCATGGGGAGACTAAACAATCCCAAACCCAGCTTGCTGTACTCATATTGGCTGCAGTTTTCTACAATTGTGACCGTACGTCACTGGTTGCAAAATGCTTTGGGATGCCATGAAAAATATGCTTCCCCCTACAATGGGACAATTCTATATCGCGAAGACATTGTTTTAAAATTAGGGGCTACTTTTGTATGCTAGAGAATTTCTTCTCTCAGAGGATTATGGGATTGGAAACTCTCTGCCTCAGAATTCTGGGGACCATTGAATTATTTTAAAGGTGAAGGTTCTTGTTAGGTCAGGTAATCAAAGGTAATTAGGTAGTGAGAACATGGAATTCAAAGCACAAACAGGTTGTCCATGACCTCATTGAATTGTGAAGCAGCCTTGAAGTAGCTGAATGGTTCTTAAGTCATGTGCTTGTATGTATGATTGAAGCTGATCGGTAACTTTGATCATCTTTGTCTGCTTCACAGCTCAACCTCAGTCAGGACTGATGGGGAAATGCCGTCGGCCGCGGACTGCGTTCACCAGTCAACAGCTCCTGGAGTTGGAGAACCAGTTCAAGCTCAACAAATACCTGTCCAGGCCAAAACGCTTTGAGGTGGCCACATCCCTCATGCTGACTGAAACCCAGGTAAGGACGCAACCATAGACCAGTGCCATTCAGCCCATTGTACCAATGCTTGTGCTTTGAAAGAACTTTCCAATTAGTTCCCTGCTCTTTTGACATTGCCATGCAAATTATACACCTCTTGAGTATTTATCCAGTTCCCTGCTCTTTTGACATTGCCATGCAAATTAAACACCTCTTGAGTATTTATCCAGTTCCCTCTTTTAAAGTTGCTGTAAGAACATAACAAATTAGGAGCAGGAGTAGGCCATCTTGAGCCTGCTCTGCCATTCAATAAGATCATGGCTGATCTTTTCATCGACTGAGCTCCATTCACCTGCCCGCCCGCCATAACCCTTAATTCCTTCACTGTTCAAAAACCTATCTATCTTTGTCTTAAAAACATTCAATGAGGTAGCCTCTACTGCTTCAATGGGCCGGGAATTCCACAGACTGAATTTGCTACATTCAACGTTTCAGACTGAATTTTCCAGATCACACTCACGCACTTTTTTAAAAAAATAAAATTCTTTATCTACCTCTCCAGTTCCTTTGTCAATTTTGTTAAATTTCTATGCCCCTGGTCACTGAGATGAAAACAAAAATTGCTGGAGAAACTCAGCAGGTCTGGCAGCATCTGTGGAGGGACAAAGAGAGCTAACATTTCGAGTGCAAAATGACTTTTCTTCATAACTGCGCTAGTCTGACTCAAAACATTAACTCTATTTCTCTCTCCAGATGCTGCCAGACCTGCTGAGTTTCTCCAGCATTCTGTGTTTGTTTCAGGTTTCCAGCATCTGCAGGATTTTGCTCTTATCCTTCTGATTACTGTTCTTCCTGCCACCAGTAGCAGTTTTTCCATCTTTACTACATCAAAACACTTCATAATTAATATAATTAACTAATGTCCATTAATTCTACAAGATGTACTGCAGAAATTCACCCAAGATCTTTAGACAGCACCTTCTAATGCAAATTCCCCTCCAAGCCATTCACCATCCTGACTTGGAAATATATTGCTGTTCTTTCTGTGTCATTGGGTCAAAATCTTGGAACTTCCTCCCTAGCGGTATTGTGGATTTACCTACTCCTGCTCCTAGTTCTTATGTTCTCCCTTCCTACCCTTTCTTATTTCTGTAGTTGTTGCACTGTCCTCAGTGGGCAGCACTTGTCAATTGTTCATTTAATCAGTGAAATGGGTGATTGATGATGTGTGTCAAAATACAAATGATAGCCACAAAGTTATCATTGATTATTGTAAACATCCATCAGGGTCAGTAATGTCCTTTACGGAAGCAAATCCACTGGATCTTTCCCTGTCAGGCCTGGACATGACTCCAGACTCACAGCAAGATGGTTGACTCTTAATTACCTTCATTAATAACATTCAGTTCAAGGGTAGTTCAGGATGCCAAATGGTCAGCCTTGCCCATGTCCCATGAATTAATGACAAATTAACTGCTGTGGATTTTTGTATCTTTGAATCCTAAAAAGATTGTAGCACTGAAAGAGGCCACTTGGCCCATCATGTCTGTTCTGGCCAATCAAGGAGCTACCCATTCTAATTCCCCTTTGCAGCATTTGCGCGATAGCCTTGCAAGTTACTGCACTCAGGTTGCACTCAGGTCCATAAGATACCTTTTTTGGGAAGTTTATTGCCCAAATAGGGACGTGCAACAAATGCTGGTCCTGTCTTAGATGGCCCCACCTCCCGAAGGAACAAACAAAAAATAATTACATTGAAAATGCAACATAAACACAGCGAGTAGTTGGAGTCTGGAATGCACTGCCTGGGAATGTGGCACAGGTAAGTTCAGTTGAAACATTCAAAAGGGCATTGAGTGATTCTTTCGATAGAAATAGTGTGTGGAGAAAAAGCAGGAGATTGGCTTGGGGTAATATTTGTTTCAATAGCTGGTGTAAGCTTGATGGGCTGAACAGCCTCCTTCCATGATGGAACCATTCTGTGATCTTGTAAATGGCAAGTTGGGCTAAACATAGAAAATAGGAGCAAGAGTAGGCCATTTGAACCTGCTCCACCATTCAATCTGATCCCAGCTGATCATCCAACTCCCCTGTTCCCGTCTACGCCCAATACCCTTTGATCCCTTTAGGCCTAAGAATGATACTTAACTCCTTCTTGAAAACATTCAATGTTTTGGCCTCAACCACTTTCTGTGGCAGAGAATTCCACAGGTTCACCACTCTAATGATATGATCCTCATATCAGTCCTAAATGACCTACCCCGTACCCTTAGACTGTGACCCCTGGTTCTGGACTCCCCGGTCATCGGGAACATTCTTCCTGTGTTTACCCTGTCTAGTCCTGTGAGAATTTTATTAGTTTCTATGAGATTCCCTCCCTTATTCTTCTAAACTCCAGTGAATATAGTCCTTACTGATCCAGTCTTTAAGGAGAGTCCAACTTGTAAGACCATTGAATTATTCTCTCTCTCTCTTAATCTCACTCAGGTAAAAATTTGGTTCCAGAACCGAAGGATGAAGTGGAAAAGGAGTCGGAAAGCCAAGGAGCAGGCAGCGCAGGAGGCGGAGAAGCAGCGAGCTGGAAAATACTCAGACAAGGCGGCAGGGGGTGAGAGCAGGTCGGAGTCAGAGAGTGTGGATTTCAACAGCCACAGCACAAAATTCCTGCAGTGCAGCACAGAATTAGGCTACACCTCCAACAGCTCCTGTTCGGAAGACGAAGTATCTCGGAAGGAGGTACAAATCGCGTCAACTTTGTGAACCGAGTTGGATGCAAACTTCATGCAACTTCCTAAACTTTGTTCTTTTTCCCTGGTCTCAAAGAAAAGTTGCACTCCTCTGCAACACTGGGCCTTAGTGCCTGCCCTGTTCGTCTCTGTCACTATCTCTCTTTCCCTGTCTCCTGGTCCTGCAAACGTACTGAAATTAGTTTTTAATTTAGTAAACAGGAAGAGACCAAAGACTTCCAAGACTTCTTCAAACGCAAAGAAACTGAACAAACAAACAAAATATTGAAGAGGCAGCACCTGATTTGCCAGGCACTTGAAGATTATATTGTACTGAAACAGTTAATTTAATTTATTTTTTATTTTTGTCATATTTAATGTGAATTATTCTTTATATTATATTTTGGAAAGAAATCTCCGGTTCCATGAAAGTTGCTCTTCTGAAGATTTGAAGGGACAAAAACCAGGAGTGTTTAAAAAATCAAAAATGGGACACTTTGAAATCGGTGGGGTATCTTGAAAAGGGGGGAGAGAAAGGACAATTTCAAAGACATTGTCATGTGTTTTTCTTAATTTATTCAAATACTGTGAACTTTAAATGTTAATTGGCCCAGTACATTTCTCTACTTCTGTTTTACATTATCCTGCATCCAGAAAAAAAAAGTGCTGGCAGATATTATAGAGTATTAAACATGTGTGTGTGTGTACTCTTGCATGCAGGAGTGTACAGTGTGTATGTGTGAGTGTGTGGATCTGTGTGTCTCTTTTAGCAGCTGCACTAAGGGTAAGGGTATCAGCAATTTGGAGCTCTTAACAGTAAATTAGAAGTCTCCTTTATGATTTGAACTGAACCAGCCACATTCCCTCCGTGGAGTGGCAAAAATACAGTGTTTGTCTGTCTGTCCGTCTGTTTCGGGGCTTCTTGCCTTTGTCTTTGGATTCTTGTCTGTGATGTCCTGATCTTTGTACAAAGCAAATGCTTGCCGCGCTTTAAATGTGAATATTAAACAGTATCATGTTCTGTATAACAAGGTAATGTGACTTTAAAAGCAGCATCACTTCCCCAGGTATGTAGTCACGTCTGACACACTGTGCATAGCAACATGAATAAACCATTCTGCCCCTTGAGTCTGTTCTGCTTATAGATCACATGTCCCGACCCCATCACTCACCTTACCGTCACAAAAATCTAGCTATTTCAGTCTTTGAAACTTTGATCCTCAGCATTCAAAAAGCCTTTTGATTTCCAGCGCACACCACATGCCTATTTTTCAATTGAATTCCTCAGCAGCTTTGCTTTAATTTTAAAATTGCGCTCCCTTGACCTGGATATACCCACCAAAGGAAATCATTTCTCTGTACTCAGACTATGGAGGAAGTGGAGCGAGTCCATTTTTAACCACAATTAATAACAAGCAGCCAAAGAGCGTAGGAGACTAAGGGGAGGATCTTATAGAAGTGTATCAGATCATGAGAGGCATGGGTAGGATGAATGTACTCAGTCTTTTTCCCAGGGTTGGGGAATATAGGACTAGAGGGCATCAGTTTAAGCTAAGAGGGGAAAGAATACCTGGGAACCTGAGGGGCAATGTTTGCATACAGACGGTGGTACGCAACTGCCAGCAGAAGTGGTTGAGGCAGGTAAATTAACAACATTTAAAAGGCATTTGGATGAATACATGGATAGGAAAGGTTTAGAAGGATATGGGCCATGTGCAGGGAAATGGGATTAGCGTGGATGGACATTTTGGTCGTCATGGACCCATTTGGCCCAAAGGGGCTGACTCCGTGCTGTAGGACTCTATGACTCCATGACTCTAGATGATGAAGGGCCAACTGGTGCAGCAAAGCTGATACTTCTAATGTGGAGCTACTGCTGCCTAGGATCTCTTATGATCTCAGCTGATGCCAATACTGGACAAGTCATATCCCAGAGTGAAACCTTCATAATACTTCCACACAGAGAAAAAAACAAACAGTACCTTTAAGAGATATTTCATGGTGTGTTATAACTTTTTCTTCTCACTATTTTTGTTTTACTAATACAGATTTCACTTTGACAGGAACGATATATGTGCATTAAATACGCAAGAACTTTTCATAACAATCATATTCTATTCAAGTCCATTTTGATTACATTTATTTTCCTCCATATTTGTTCTTGACAAAGCATGCACTATGATTTTGCCTCTTTTTGCTACATGAGTGATTGTCAAACTATATGGTGTAACATTAAACTCCACCAAAACAAAACTCAAAACTCAAATGTTTTCCATGAAACCTTTCTAAGAGAGTTAATGGATTAAAATAAGTCTCTGTAGAATTATTGAATGTACAGACATCAAAAAGTTGAAGAGTTAACACCAAACTCTCTTTTCCCAGGGTTGAATTTTTTTTCCGGCAAGAATTTAGTTTGTGACAAAAATAACTAACTGGTCATTCAATCCCCATTTTATCCTTCTGTGACAACACTGCACCAATACTAACACTGCTGGCATTGAGATTCCAGACTAAAATCCGGCTTGATAGATCATATTTAGTTTTTTTTATGTGATGCAGCATTTGTTCGCTGAAACAAGAGCATACAATGTTACAGATTTGGGTTTAACAAGAAAACAGCTGCTCATTACATAAAAGAAATGAAGATGGACTAGAATAAACCAAGCTATTTACATAAAACACAATTTGAAAGATCTCAAAACAGTAAAAATACAATCCCATCTATTCCCAACACCATCAATTTACTTAAATACCAGAGAGTTCAAGATATTTCAAACCAAACATTCACATGGAGGTAACCTATCCTCTAACTAACTCCTTTCTCCACAAGAAATTCTCTTGCGTCTAAATTCAACCAGGATTTTGGTAAACCGAAACTAAAACCTTTCCAACTTCTAGGTTCTACCTTTAAGCAAAACAAACTTAATTGCTGATTGCACTAAACTGAAAGCAAGCTATTTCCATGTTTATTTTATGGGGAGGTGATGGTCTAGTAGCATTATCGCTGGGCTGTTAATCTAGAGACCCAGATAATGTTCTGGGGACCCAGGTTTGAATCCTGCCACTTCAATAAATATTTGGAATTAAGAGTCTAATGATAACTGTGAATCCATTGCTGATTGTTAGGGGAAAACACCCATCTGGTTCACTAATTCTCTTTAAGGAAGGAAACTGACATCTTTACCTGGTCTGGCCTACATGTGACTCTAGCCCTGTAGCAATGTGGTTGACTCTTAACTGCCTTGTGGGCAACTAGAGATGGGCAATAAATGCTGCCTAGCCAGTGATGCTTTTGTCTCATGAACGAATAAAAAGAACTCTCATAATGCAAATGCAGTCCCATTATCACTAAGCTTTTTGGAGTCGATCAAGCAATTCTGTCAAATGGTGACTTATAGGCAGGGTGGTTAAGAAAACGTTTAGCACGCTTTCCTTCATTTCTCAGTCCTTTGAGTATAGGAGTTGGGAAGTCATATTGAGGTTGTGCAGGACATTGGTGAGGCCTCATTTGGAATACTGCACCCAGTTCTAGTCGCCCAGTTATAGGAAGGACATTATTAAGCTGGAGAGGTTCAGAAGAGATTTACCAGGATGTTGCTGGGTATGGCAGATTTGAGTTATAAAGAAAGGATGGATAGGCCAAGACTTTTTTTACTGGAGCATAGGAGATTGAGAGGTGACCTTATAGAAGTTTATAAAATAATGAGGGGTATAGATCGAGTTAATGATAGTTGTCTTTTCCCTAGCATAGGGGATTTCAAGGTTAGGGGCCACATTTTTAAGGTGAGAGGAAAGAGATTTTAAAAAAGACATGCAGGGCAAATTGTTTACACAGAGGGTGGTTCGCATGTGGAATGAGCTTCCTAAGGAATTGATAGATGTGGGTACGATTGCAATTTTTAAAAGACATTTGTATAAGTATATGAATAGAAAAGGTTTGGAGGGATATGGGCTAGGAGCAGGCAGATGCGACTATTTCAGTTTGGGATTATGTTTGGCATGGACTGGTTGGACCGAAGGGTCTGTTTCCGTTCTATATGACTCTATGACTCTATAACTGTTCCTCCCATGGTTAAAAACAATCAAATCATCACTATAAACCATATAGTTACATAGTCCTTCAATGTCTTTATTGGTTCATCTTGAAATGTAACTGTTGCATTTTTCTTTTCAAACAACGTGAGTTAACATTGATAGAGTCCATCCAGTGTTACAAAGGCCAATATTTCTTTGGCCTTATCACTCAAAGAACAATACAGCACAGGAACAGGCCCTTCGGCCCTCCTAGCCTGCGTCGACACATTTTGCTCTTCCATACTAAAACTGTCTTCACTTACAGGATCCATATCCCACTATTCCCTTCCTATTCATGTATTCATCCAGGTGCTTCTTGAAAGCTGTTATTGTGTCAGCTTCCACCACCTCCTCTGGAAGCGTATTCCAGGCACTCTCCCCACTTTGTGTGAAAAACGTGCCTCGCACATCTGTTTTAAACTTAAACTAAAAGGAACTTGATCTGGAAATTTCAATTCCTTTTAGTAAGTCAGTTTTTGTGATGAGTCATGCGCCAATTTATTCGATGCAGCCTTCCAATTTTGAAGTAGGAAATGAGTCCCCTTTGTTACTACATTGTCTTTGACATAATCAATGTAGCGTCTTTGTAATTCATTTGGTTTCAGTGGTATCACTATAGGTGACCTCCAGCTACTATCACTTTGTTCAATAACGTTATTTTCCATCATGAATTTAATCTCTTCCCTCACTTGGGCTTCTTTCTGGATTGAGTCTGTAAAGATGTTGTTTTATAGATAACACATCTCCACATTAACATGATGAACAGTCAAAATCAGTTTCTGGTCTATTCTGGAATGCTTAAAAAGTCACTTTGATAATTTTTTGGAAGATAGAACATGATGCTATTAAACTTCATGTACGTCTGTATTATCCAGTTTGAATTTTCAATTTCTGTTCATTCTCCACTTTCTCAACTTTAAGTATAATTTTTCCTTCATATTGTGTCTCTTCACCATGTTAATATAACATCCTCTCTGTTAATTTTTTTTCCTGTCAGGTATACACTCTACCTAATTTACATAATTGAGTTTCTGTTGATTTGACAAGGTCTCTCGATCTCGCAATTAATGTTGCCCCAGAGATAGGTAACAACTCAAGTCCCTTGTCTGCAATAAAATATGAACTTTAGTTTTTTATCGTCTGCTCTAGTTTTCATTGTTTCTTGAGCACCCTTAAAATGTTTTTTTTAGCCAATGCCAAATGCTTTATTCAATTTCTCTCTGAAACTGGAAACATAGGCTGTAAATGTAGTCTTGGAGCTTTGGTTTATTAATTTTCCTTCAATCAATATTTAATCCTTTCACCTCATGTCCGTATATTAGTTCAGAAGAATTGAATTTTGTGGCCTCATTAGAAGCATTCCTAATGGCAAATAATAATAAAGCTATTTATTTATCCCAAACAATATGATATTACTGACAACAAGTTTAATCATGGTTTTCAAAGTTTTAATGCCACCTTTCCAATGCACCTTGAGATTGTGAGTGATAAGCAGAAGATATAAATTATTCTCAAGCATATAAAAGTTTCCTTGAATAGTTGTGACATAAAATTTTAATCTTGATCTGATTGTATTTCTTTGGACAATTCATACCTTGTGCATCAAACTGAACTGGTTTTTACTTGACCACTTTTTCAATAATTTTTCCTAAAGGCTCTGCTTCAGGAAATATTGTGGGAACATCTATATTTGTTAAAAAAATACAAGTTCCCATCCCAGCTTTTAGGCAGGGATTGTATTTTCTTTATTTCTTTCACAGGATGAGGGCATCACTGGCTAGGCAGCATTTATTGCCCATCCCTAATTGCCCAGAAGGCAGTTAAAAGTCAACCATATTACTGTGGATCTGGAGTCACATGTAGGCCAGACAAGGTAAAGATGGCAGTTTCCTTCCCTAAAGGGAATTAGCGAACCAGATGGGTTTTCCCCAACAATTGACAATGGATTCAC